AACCCGAAAATCGCACATACCTACTTTAATTTTTTCATACTAAGGAAAGTAAGCTAAAAAGATGCATGTTGAGGGTGGTTTAATAAACCATCAGCCACTGGACTCTTGCATAGAAACAAATGAAGTGACAGCGAACTAAACAGAGCAAGCCAACCGCCTTACCGTGCACTGCTGCAAGCCTGCTGTAACGTTATCTCTAGTCTATACGTCTACTTCAGATCGAATAACATACAGCAGCGCTGTGAGAACAACAAATTCAATGAAGTCAGATTTGTCCCAGGGAGTTGGAACGTGAGAAACAAGTTTAAGGAAATGTCCCATGAAACAATTCATGTCACGTTTAATTACCAATGTGTTTAACTCTGTTTGAGGGAGTAGCCTAAACGAATAAACTTGAAATAGCTTACGATAATTCTCTCTTGTTTCTTTACTTCCTCCCTTTTTCTCCCTCCGCCATTTATTCTTCGTCTTCTTAATATTTCACATTCGACGCCATGTACACGTAGTATATAGTATTCAGTTCATGCCATGCGTTCGGTAGGTATCTGCTTCGATCCTCGGCAGACTACAGGCAATAGAGATACTTCGTTCTGTACAAGCTACGCGAAATCGAGTTTATATTCGTATATGTGTGCGTGTGTGCGCGCACACACACACACACACACACACACATGACTGGATGTCACATTCTTCTTCCGGGACAGGCTTTTCCAGAGTACCTATTATCTAGGAGGTGAAGGCAAAGTTGTCCCTGTGCTTAACTAATTAAACACTACGTCATGAAGGCGTATGGGTGAGTGGATGTATAAATCCATATTTTCTTCACCTCGGCACTAGATGAAGGTGAGTGGTCAGCTTCACGCCTCGGCCACTTTAACCCCGGGGAAAGAGCCACCGGTACCCATTGGATAGGAAGTTGAGTGGACCCCAGAGCCAGTCTGAACGACGTGGAGAAAATTCTTGACCCTACTGGGACTCGAACTCCAACCCCTTGGTCATCCAGCCTGTAGCCAGTCGCTATATCGACTACGCGACTAAACTTATTGAAATGCGGTTTAAACAACGCTATGAACAGAATGCCCCATGCATACCATAAAGCGGAACTGTTTTAATATTGTCACGTGTAGGGTGGTACGCGTGACGAAATGATGGGTTCTGGTTCAGATGATTGGATTTATTAGCACTTTGGTTACAATCTCTCATAATCACATTTAGATACAGCGATATCGATGATCTACACACACTGGGCCTCTCCTGGTAACACAATTAAAGCCCAGAAATTAGCGCTTCAAATCACTCCAAATATTACACATGAATACAGTCTTCTAATTGCACTTCGCCGGTCGGCGACCTTTGCGTGGCTGTTTCCACCCGAGAACTCAGAACTCACTGTCACTGTCACTCCTAGTTCCAGTTCGCTCTGAACTTAAGTCAAAGTCAAAGTCAAAGTCAAAGTCAAAGTCGCATTGCGACTGACGGACAGACACTCAGTAAGTCTTGGTGTCGAGCCCCATCTAGGGCTCATGACCAGATATTTATTACTGTTTGACAGTTACGGTTTTGTTTTTGTGGGGTTCCCTCTCTAACGAGAGGGCGGGTCTTTTGTTCATGCTGCTGGCCCTTGCCAGCGCAGTCTCTCTCAGGTCCGAGTCCCTTGGGATTCGCGACCATATTTTACTGTCTCAGATTTGAGACTTCCTTTTCGTCGCCTCCTACGACTCGCAGGGTCACGGTGGAGGTATTCGACCCCGCCTCCACACTGGGTGGGTTTGACTTATATCTCACAGCTCTCGTTATATAGCCACAGCACGGACCGCATAGGATACACAATTCCATTGTTGATGACGCAGACCGTACAGAAACTACATCACGTGATATCTCGTCAGTACATTGGTGCGCTGTTTCCTAGCAATGGCCTATGAACATTCGTCCTATTGTTGTAACGCACTCAACTGAAGGTTGCTTACAGGTCGTTGTCTAGAAACGCCCTGGCCATTCACGTTACAACCTGAAGGAGTGGTAGAGGAAAGAGGAGAAGAGACGTGACAATAAGACGGGCAAATGTGATGGAAAGAAATACTGAAGACAGAACTGGAGGAGATAAAGAGAAACAGGAAGAGAAGAACAGTGACGAGGGAACTGATTTATTGTGAAGGAGAAGAAGGAAGAAAGGAGGAGAGGAATTAGGATAGGATGGATAAATGAAAGGAAAGGAAAGAGATCATGGGGAATTAGGAAATAAAAGGTACAAAAGGAACAAAGGAAAGGAAGAAACAAATGATTTTTGTCTCTCCTCTTTGATGAGCCACCTGCTTGTTGCCATATACATGTAACACGAATAAAATTTCAACCCTCATCATGAAAATTAAATGTACCTTGACCAGCTGGCACCATCAGTTTTTGCAATGGGTTCAGCTATTCAATTTTTGTTGATCAACCTGAAGTATTTGCAATAAAATACTATTTATTTTAAATACTCTTAATTCTTGTTATTAACATTTGACATATTTTCTTATTTTTCCCAAGAATCCAAGGAGCGATGCCTGCCTTCACCCTCCTGCCAATGCCCATAAGTAGTAGCAGTATTAGCAGTAGTAACAGTACTGACAGTGATGGTAGTAGTATGGTTGGTAGTGGGGGTGCTGAGTTTGATGAAAGGCAGTGAAACAGCATTTCCTATCATCATCATGTCCATACCAGTTGTGGGGCTCATCAGACTATCAAATGTATACTTGAAGACTGAAACTAGTCATCAACTTCATCTATTGGTCATGCCATCACTCAAGCAGCTAGTTAATGGCTTCACACCACAGGGGCTCAGGTTCAGCCCCAGAGTAGTCAATGTTGGATAACAGTGGATAAAGTGGCACTTAAGCAGGTTTTGCAGTTACAGTATTACAGTTACGTTAAGATTTCTATATCAAGAAATTATGTGTGTTTGTGAAAAATGTCACTGAGGGTACATGTAGGTTCCTCATATTCTGTATGATCTGTATGTACCCTCCATCACCAATTTACCATTTATTACCTGTGTGATAGAATTTCTGATTCACAGTAATTCTAGAAGTCAGTAATACATGTATGCATACATATATTACATTTCTTTCTCTGGATCTAGAGTTAGTAAAGAATGAACATAGGATGTGGCATAAGTCATAACACAAAATATATACAACCAAATACTTCACATAAATATAAAAAATACACTGGAAGCTCATTTAAGTTATTCATATTAAGTGTATGAGAAGCCTAAAGGCCAATGGTCAGTTCCATGCTCCATCTGTTTTTATATTATTACCAAGATAGTGCCCTTTTCTGCCCTAACACTTGTCAGATAGAGGGTCTGCTTACAGTGTTAAATTTTACTCTTCTTTCTTCCTATACCTTTTATGGATTAAACCTGTTTCAATTTAATAACCTTCTCTTGAATGATTTTCCTATATCTTTGTACAGCATTTAGCAATCTGTAATTATCCATTCTGTTCAAGTGGGTTAACCATTTATATTCATCTATTCTTTAATTCAATAAATAAATATTCAGTTCCTTTCTTTATTTCCCCTTTGGAATCAGGATAGCTCAGTCATAGTGACCAGCTATGGGCTGGATGACTGAGGATTCTGAGTTTAATTCCTGAAAAGTGTAAGAGGTCTCTCTCTTCTCTACCACATCCACATCAGCTCTAGGTCCCACCCTGCCTCCTATCCTGTCTGTACTACAGATGCTTTCCCCTGGGGTGAACTACTATTATATGAAGTGACCACTCACTTCCACCTAGTGCCAAAGTTAATATGTGAAGTTTTACCTCTATTTCCCCATAACTTATCATGTGTCGCTTAACCAAGTGCAGGGACAACCTTACTTTCACCTAGTACCAGCTTTAATAATTCTTAAATGTTCAGTTCATCACCCAACATATTCATAGATATTGGTTTACTTTGTTGATTATTCTTGTTAGTGTTGTTGATTACTATTGTTTGAGTTTTGCAGTCTTCAGCTGTTGACTTGGGTCGGTTTGCCCCACTTGGCATGACAGGCCAGTAGGTCATGCATGCTTTCCATATTATAAAAAGCTGCAGGAAGAATTTTATTATGTAGCTAAACAGAGTTCTATACACAACACTAAACCCATTGGTGGTCAACCATACATAACAGATGCTCAAATCATGCAGCTATTTTAGTGGAGCAGAGATGTGAATGTATATGATAAAAAGTTGGAGGGATCCATCATCATCATCATCATCATCATCATCAATTACATGGTCTGAATACTATTTGTTCCGGTTGCTAAATAGGATCTAACAAGTTCTATAATAATTAATTCCTTGGTGTATGTTGTTTCTTGAAAAGCTGATGGTTATTTAGCTGGTCAAGAAATTCCCTGCTGGTATGAAACCCAAAGGTTACTCCTTTTTAAAAAAAGTTTTCCATTGGATCATATCACTAGCTGCTTAAAACTAGTCCAGCTTTTCACACATATTTCTTCAAATTTCTTTTCCTGTTAACCTTCTACATATGTCTCATCTTCACAAATGATCTCTTCCTATGAGACTTTCCAGTCAAACATTTGTGTGGATTTCTCATGTCCTCTCCATCTAATCCACTTTAATAACGTTGCATAGTACAAATCGTGAAGTCCATCACTATTTTATTTTCTCCATTACATTTCAGCATTCTGTTGCACTGATTAAACATTTAATTTCCAGAGGCAATCTTGAAGGTGCAACTTCTTGTTGTGTTGTGTACTTACTCTTTTTCACATCTGAATATTTTCTATAGCACTTTGTTCTCAGATATGTCTATCTTTATATTCTTTATTCAGAGTGAGTTTTACAGTTTAAGTTCTATAGTAAAAAGTAATATATATTTACATAATTTAATTTTTAAGTTCTTAGACAGAAGACAGACAAAAGTATGTGCTATTAATGAATTTAGTGAGGTGCAAATTCTGTAAAATATAGTAAGAATTGTCAAAAACAGTTGGTAGGGTGATACATAGACCTTTCCTTTTAAGTATTATTTATTTCAAATCCAGAGAGATGACACGCAGAAGACACTATCACTAAAAGCTTCCTCTGTTTTTTAAACAATACTGTTAGTATTCACATGTAACAAGGTCTCTTTTCTAGTGCATTGAAACAGCATCTTAAAAAAGAACTGAATGGTCTTCAAATAAGAAAACTGTACAGCTTAGATAAACTGTATTGGCTTTACCATACAAAAATTCAATATTCTGTTTTTAGTATTTTAAAGGTTCACTTTTTGACAGCAATGTTGAAAGTTCCCACATACTTGCCATATCTCAGTACCAGAATCTTACAAAATCACTACTGTCCATATTTACAGACGATCTTGTGAGAAAGAAGACCTTTAGAAAACCAAAGGAATTTAAACCTTTAAAAGTATGTTGACAGAGATGCAATGCAGTCCCATACTCTAAGGACACTATAGTAAAAGAATTCCTTATTATTCCTAACAAATCTTACTTTAGCAATGGATGTAGCAGGAAAAGAATAAAGAATAGATTATTAATGTTGATCTGTCATAAGCATTAATATGCAGTATTGTGGTTGTCACAAGTTGGCCAAGGTAAATTTGTAAATAATATGTTTACATGTATGTCATAAAGAACATGCATAGTAAGTAGAACTCTTTAACTATATTAGAGCAGGCAGTATTGTTTGTAAGAAATTCATGTTTTAATTTTCTTTACGCATATCATGAGTCCATTTCATTTTGTTAAAGCAGGAAACCTGAAATTGTTCAGTGATCAAACTCTGAGATATATAATATTTTTCTTTCACAGGTATTTATGGAGGAATTAAAAATAAATGCCTGAGACATCCTTCCACTTTTACAGAATGCTATTAAATATTAAAAATATGGAAATAAGTTTGTAGTATCACATGTATGTTCTGAGGTACATATTACTGCAATGTATTTGCAAATCATATTTCTAAGGAATGTGTGTTGCAGCTTCCTGCTACGCATAATAAAATTTATTTTCAGTTCTTAGATATTTTACTTTTGTAATAAATTGCATACTTGCAAAAAGCAATTCACAAATATATTCTATCAATATGAAAACAAAATGGACTTTCTACTACTGAAAAATGTGGAAGCAGCCTAGCAAAGAAATATAAAATGCAATTTGAATTACTTCACTTTCTACTCCCAGCTTTTCTTTCACACAAATGCTTCATTTTGCCATCACAAGCAGGCTAGCTCTGGGATCTATTCAATTTTTTACCCAGTGAATACAGTGGTTTCTTTCCTCAGAAATAAAGCATCCAAAGAATGAAGCTAACCACTTAGTTCCATGCAGTGCCAAGCTTGATATATTTTCATGTTGAACTACTAACTTGAGAACCCACACAGCTTTTATTTCACTTTCATGTCTTTTAGGGAATGTTGATTTGTCAGATGACTGCTTTGAATAGGCAATTCAAAATAGCAGAGGGTGAGAAATAGAAAGAAATACACTTACCTTGTTCTTCACATTAATACCTTTGAAAGTTGGACCATCAACACTTATAGATTTAACTCAACTCCATGTGTACCGTTTCTTCCATGACAATGCAAACAATAAAACTGCAGTTATGAAAGAATAGCATATATGATATGAAAGCCAAATGCATCTGAATTCCTCAGGTGATACTTTTCACATGTCACTTCCTGATACTTCTGAATTACAAGTCATTTGATGTTGTTTCTCTTGAAATGCATTTTCTCTCTTACTGCAATTTCTATACAGAGTATTCTGCACAGCATAGCTTCAGCCAGCAGTGTATATAGCACAAGGCTTAACCTAATCCAGCTTCAAAACCATTCAAGCATATATACTACCTTCACAGAATCTTCACTTTTGTCTTGAATTATCTGTATATTTTGAAAGTAAGCATCCATTTTAATTCAACATTTATTTATTTATTTATGGAATCTAAAATACTATACTGCCTTCAATACAATCTGCTATAATACTGTTTTGACTGAGTTTTTGTTCACTTCAGCTGAATATATGAGGACTGTCACTACCTGGAATTGTTGAACCCCTTCAAATCGATATAATTCTTCAAATCCAGTAAAGAATATGAATTTTTTCATCACCTTAGTCATTATCTGTGTAAAGTCTTACTTTCTTGCATCAAAATATATGGTTAGCCATTAATATAGCCAACTTATGAACTCAGATCATGGTATTTGCATTAATTAAAAAAAGAAGTTCTTAACACTCTTAAAGGTAGTTCAAGAAAATAACCAATACCTCAGCTCTTCTTTTGTAATCTGAGAATTTCACTAGATTCTACAGCCACCTACTGGATAAACTAATATTTAAACAACTTATGTGTAAAAGGTCACACAACATGCAAACATATCTCACAGTCCAGACATTGCATAATGTTTGGTAGCAACTGTATTACTGCTGGCCACGTTTAATTAGGCACAATCAAATATTCCTTCCATTTATGCACAAAAAGCCCACTTTTCATGAAGTTAAGATTATAACCATCTCTGTTGATGCTGAATGGATGCATTACTTGCTATTTCACATGAAAATTGTTATGAATTTTAGTTACAGCTTTCACATTATCAAAATTTTTGTTCTATCATTGGCTTTCCATGTACTCTGACTTCTCAATAAAAACGATAGCAATTAATAGTGAATGAATGAATGAATGTTATGAAGTTCACTGATGTTTGTGAGTAGACTTTCTTTACATTGACTGTGATTATCCATACACTGTAGACTGTGATCATATATACACATAGTTTCAATAATGATAATTCCTGTTTTAGAAATAATAACTGTAAAATAGTGTACACTACTGAAGAAAAGGACCAAACACCATGGTTAACACAGGACCTTCAGTCTTATGTCACTTTACATTTAAACTTTATACAAACTAACTGTAATCCTTCTCCAGAATTGTGCCCTCTTATGGGAGATATTCTGCTAAAGGACTTAGTTCCCTAAATATACTGGGACCATTATTTCAAATATCTGTGCCATTAATATTTATAAGTACAAGACTTCCACTTACTTGTAAATAAATCCTTCACGAGCCTTATCAGCCACAATGTGAATGCACTGTAATCCCCATAAAAAAGTTAAAAAATTTAAAATTCATTTAGCACATATTTCATTATCCCATTCTTAATGTTTATGCTCACCACACTAAACTTTCATGAAAAACGCTGTTGCAAGAGATTTCACAATGGGTACACTACTACTGATGAACATATATGTGGCCAGGAATTTTGTATAGAACTGTGCTGCAATAACTCCATCCCTTTCGGTGTAACATAAATGTGCGGTGGGCTTCAGATTGTTTGTAACAAAAGGAGCACTTTATCCTGTATTAGCCAGCCTGTACCAATCTGGCGGTACACTGTTGTAGAGGTTCCATGTTGGAGGCTGTGAGCGTGGACTACGTGATGTTATCTGGAATTCAACTGGTAGATCATAGCACCGACACACACAGCATGATGGAAACTTGAACCAGTCAGAAAATATGCCTCGACACTCATTATTTGGATCATATGCCAGCAGTCGATGCAATCGATACTGTTGTTCACAGCGGCACCCTTCACGACAGAACATCTGTTTGTACTCAAAACTGCAATAAAGAAAACTGCATTTATTCTGTGTGCTCTCATATCAAGCACCTTGTTAACATTATTTGACACATACTCTGAAAGCATAATCCTCTTCATGTGATTATATTATTCCTCTAATTTCATTAAATAAGTAAGGAAGCTATGTCAAAAACAGGAATAGACCAGTTTTTAATAAAGGTGGAAATATTCTAAACCAGATGGAGTGAATCACGCAAGCAACATTGTTATCGTACACATAAGAAGAAAATAGTATTGGAGGCAAAGAGACAGCTTCTCTGCAACCCCACTTCTCTCATCCTGATGAGGTCTTGGGTTAATATTTGTGAAGCTCGTTGTAGCTACTGTATCAGCCAAGTGAAAAATGTAAATGAATATGTCTGTATATGTTTGATAATACACCTAACATATTTAACCCTTTCCCAAATAATCAAATTAATGAGATACATGCTACGTGTACTGCCCATTCTTTATTCAATCCTCTTAATAATATCAGGCAATGAGTAAAATTTATGAAACTCAGTATATAATTTTTCTCTTTCTGTTGGAAGATGGGGCAGCAAATGCTACTAATTATGAATGCAAACAAGATGAAAAATGTTTAAAACTCACGTGCATTTTTCCCAGTGGACATATTGCTCAAATGGATATAAATTCAGCAAGGCAAGAACCTCCCCACGAGTGTTGTTGGCCCAAAATGGTGCAACAACTTCCTCTTTCACAGGACAAGCATTTCTAGAACAAACACATTAGTTTAAATTTAGCAATTTTTTAAGCTTGATTTAAGGAATTATCTTACACGTGTATTTTATTTTGCAGAAGAGTTTATATCAAATTATTAGTTCCTTTTTTATAAGTTTTTTAATCATGTTTAGCTTTTTAGTCGTTTGTACTTTTTGTTTTACTAGATTTTGTACTTACTTTGACGTTTATCTGCTGTGTTTATATTATCGTTTAATGTCTCTTTTTCTAAAGTTGCATTGTGAAACGTACATCTCTTGATATGTGTCATATTCGCCTGTTGATGGACGAATGTTGGATTTATGAAATGTATATGTATGTGTATATGTGTATGTATGCATAGCCAAATGTATCCTACTAAAATAAGAATAATAAGGTAAAAGTGTGATGTTATGGGTTGATAATTTAATGATCAGTAAAAACCTTAAGATGACATAAATATACTGTAAGTAAAAAAAAAAGTAAAGCTATCCCTGTACCAGGCCGTGAAGGCCCATAGGTTTGTAAGACGTTGAAGGTCCCACATTATCTAGACAATAGGCTCAAAGATGGCGGTAAAGTTGTCAGCCTTACTCGCGGGCCGCGCTTTACTCTCCAGGAAAATTATTTGATTAATTCCTGGTACTCATTTCTGTTAGAGGCTGAGTCGACCCCAGGGCCATAGTGCGGCTGGAAGGATTAGGTCAATTGAAAAAAATCCAATGAACTCCTCGGGACTTGAAACCATGACCTTCCGGCTTGTAGCATAGCCCCTCAGCCAACTACGCTAATGTTATTACCTCTTTCTCCAGGTTTTAGTAAGTTACATTCTTATGGAAGAAACAAACACTTTAAATTGTCAGATCTCAGGTCTTAATGAGATTTTATGTCAAGTAGCCATGTTCTGCACAGTGAGTAAATTTTGAGGAACTGATAAACATACTTTAAGTTCAATATAAAGTAAAATTCCCAGTAGAGCAGTGTAATTACAAATGAAATTTTAATGTCAACTTTTAGTGTAGACCTCCCATAGTAAATTTCATTCACCTCACTCAAATAGTACATAAGATGAAACATACAAATACACAGAGGTAAGTAACTTCATTAGGTGTTCACTTTGTGCAGGTAATGCACAAAAATGTTAATAAAAGGATTATTTCATACTGACTGCATAGATACAGTATCTCTCCGAGTTATGAACACAATACACTACTGGAAACCATTATGTACTATAATTTCATATTTATTTTCCCACACACATTAACATTTAAATGAGTAAACCAATAGCAGAGTGAAGAGCAATGAGAAATGGCAAGGGACACTGCACACTGGAGTCGGTTGTATCAGCAGCATGACAAGGAAAGATACAAATGTATTTGAACAGTGATTCCTTAGATATCCATAAATTGAAGAGTATATATGAATATGCATAAGTGATTGTAACAAAAAAAAATGTTTATTACTCTGCAATGTTTGTAACTTTGGGAGTGACCATGCTGCTTTATGGAATACTTACACTCCCCTTAGTTTGACAACTCCGGTTGGGGTCGATTGACTACTGCTGTCTGTTTGCTGCTCTTTTGAATCCTGAAAGAGCTGTGATTCAAAAATTTTCTCAGTGTGTGTTATGGCAGCAGTGCTTTCATCACTTGTAAATTCTATAGTCGTGGCTGTTGGAGGCTCTGCAGTGGATGTTTCTGTTTGCTCTGTACTGGTACAAGGTGTGGTGCTTGTCTCATGAAGCTGTGTTATGTCTGCTGCAGTATTCAGAGTTTTCTCTGATGCAACGATATTTGAAATAGTAGACAGATTGACAGTTGTTTGTTCACTGGTTGTCTGCACTGTTGTGCTGGAAGGAGCTTCAGATGTTGCAGTATTTGAAGTAGATTCATATATCTTATTCGCAACAGAATTATTGTTGTCAACTTCTGTAGTTACTGGATTAGAATTTTTGGCATAACCTGATTCAATCTGTTGGGACTTTGAAGTAGATTTGAGTTTTGGTGTAGAGTCAGTGGTTGATGCAGGTCTAAAGTAGGGGTTTGTGATGTGTTCTGCAGAAGCTGTTGTAGATTGAGGCGTTGTTGTAGTGTAACGTCTCCGCACATCCTCTTGGAATTTCCATTCATTCAAATATTCTACATCATTGGACTCAATTTCTGCTCGGAGGACCGAAATGTGCCTCTGATCTCCATACATTCTTCTCATTAGTCCTTGGTTTTCATGAACAAATCGTCGTACAGCACGCCTGAAAAAAATCACTGTTTTAGTTCATGATATTAAAACCACTTAAACATTGCCTAAATATCATTCCATGAAGGAATAAAACATATTATTTTGGTTCAAAGAACACACTGTAGTGCACTGTGACAGACCATTACTGAAAAGCACATTGAAGATGCATTCATCTGGTTGTCCAAGTGTATGTTAGGAGGAGTGATTGGTTGAATATGCTAAAGGAGGAAACCATATATATATATATCTGTGTGTGTGTGTGTGTGTGTGAGAGAGAGAGAGAGAGTAACAGAGTTTAGTGTTTAATTTGACCTCTCATCACACTGAAATAGCTCCAGTCACTTTCGATCATAAGCAGACACAACTTAATGAAGAAAAGCTTTAATGAATTTCAATTTTATGGCAGTGAACAATTTTAAAATTTAAAATTTTGAAATAAAAATATCTGAGACTTTGATAAATATGCAACAGTTTCCTATAAATTGAAAAATTAGAGAGATTCATTCAATCCAGCATCAGACATGACACCTTATTTCATTTTTATGTTACCAGTTTCTTTCCATTTGTGCCTTGATCTCCCACATGTCTCTTCCTTTTGCATTTCTTACAAAAATTTTATATGGAATTTTAAATTTGCTGTGTATGTAACATGTCACACCCACCTTCTGCGTTTAATATTTAGAGTTAAGTATAAATTTTGAAGCTCCTCACTATGTAATGTCCCATATCCTCCACTTACTTGTTCTTTTTTGGCGGGGTTGAGGTATTCACTTTAACAAATTTACTTCCACAAGCCAGTATCTTCAACCTACATTCTTCTCTCAGAGTGGGAGACCAAGTTTAACATCCATATAAAACTACATATAAAATTACTGTTTTGAATATTTTAATCCTTAGGTATTTACAAAGGATACATAAAAATAAAACAATGAAGACCCTGAATACTCTAATAGTATCTATATTTTGTGAAATGTGCTCATTTTTTAGAAAACTTGTAAAGTTGGATTTGAGCTTAATGTAAAATAAGGGTAATGGTGCATAAATATGCACAAATATTACCTTCCTCGAAAACTTTCAGCACAGATCTCCAGCACAAAATTAGATCAACTCTGTTAAGTGATTTGTTAGATTAAACTTGCAGATAGACAGGTATGATTATATGAAAGTAAGATGAATGATCTGTTAAATTTTCGTTTCAGTGTTGATACAAATGATGCAATATGGTAGCAGTGGATGTTACTTACAAGATCACTCACCAAGGGTAGGCACTTCCTGGGATAGTGCACCATGTTTGCAGCTGAAAATCACATGGAAGTGCTGCCTGAGCTTTCGACATACGGTAAGGTCGTGAACAGGAGGTGTACCCATCATATCCATAACCAGACATTATCAGACTAAGTGTCAGCTGCAACAGCAAGATGTTTGTCGTCAGTGAATAGGTCTGAGTCTGAGATATGAACATTAATTTTAATATAACATCACATATATAAAATACCTGAAAATGATTGATTAAATGCTGGGACTAAAATTTAAATCTGTTCTCCAATTGTATTATGGCACTAGAGTGGTATCACTTCTAATAGTAACCAGGCCTCAAAACATAACACAGAAGTTGAAAGTGCAAGTAGTCAACAAGAATCTAGTGACTGTCTAATGATCTAGATGGTACTAGTATTTGTGGGGCCAGGATCTCAAATTAAATGGGAGAAGAATCAAGTATTTGTGAGGCTAGGAACAATATTCCTTTTGGCAAGAAAAGAATAATATAACAAATGTCAAAAGGGTGTAGAAATATACACTAGGTTAAATTGCAATATCTAAGGATTTTGGAACGATTCTGTCTCAACAATATATTACAATGTACATGTATGTATATATTCTTCATACTAACATGTACTTATCATTATACATAATTCAAATTCTCTCTAAGCAGATTTACGAAATTGTGTGTATACTAATATTTTTTTAGTAACCATCTAGGTTTGTGCTCCCAAGAATGATAGCTTCAAATTTTAATCAAAATAAATACATGGGAATTGAGGTTCTCATGGCCCTGTTTATGAAGAATTCTATCTGCTGGGATATAACATCATGTAGAGTGGTGAAAGTCAACAGACGTTTCAGAGGAACATATCGCTCTTATCTTCATGGTCAAAGAGCAAGGCGGCATAGATATGGTTATTTCCTGCTTCATTATGGTCTCTTGGTTGGTTTACACTTCGAGCCTGAGGACTGGGGCAAAAATGTTACGTCAAAACGACTACTGACCTTCATTGATTTACGTATATGGCGTTATCGCAAAAGATCGAACCCTCCACAATAAAAATGTACATAATGTTGAGCAATTCATACAATTTCATGAAACTCATCCAATTGTTGAGTGTTCGGTGTTCTCACAGCCGTGATTTCAATTCTTCTTTGATGTGACATCGTGTAGTCTAGTGATTCGTTAGAGTCGTTTCATAGGAACGTCCTGCCTCAATCACCCTAAAGACAGAGGGAGCACATTCCTCCGAAACTCGGGAGCGATTTGCGAGACAACACGGGGTCTCTCCCAGAAGGCAGCAATCTTTATTTGTCTATTATTCAAAAGTCTGACGTGCATCACTAATTGCTTCCCACACATTATAAGGATAATTTTACCAAAGAAAATTATAGCCGTAATAACGACGTAATTTCCGACAATGCAACAGGCGGGTTGCTTGATAAAGGAAATGGTCCTCAGCGAGCTTACTTACTTACTTACTCATGGAGCTGAGCACTTCTTGAGGAGCCGCCAATTCTGCAGCTACTCAAGAATTTGTCAGAATTTTATGGAACCCCGAGGTTCATTACCGTGTTCACATGAGCCCTCCACTGGTCCCTATACTGAGCAAGATCAATCCAATCCATACCAACCCATCCTCTCTCTCTCTAAGATCCATTTTAATATTGTCAACCCACTTACGCCTTGGTCTTCCCAGTGGCCTCTTTCCTTCTGGCTTTCCCATGTATTCTTCGTCTCCCCCATTCGTGCTACATGCCCTGCCCACCTCATCCTCCTTGACTTGATTATTCTAATTATACTTGGAGAAGAGTACAAGTTATGAAGCTCCTCATTACGCAGTTTTCTCCAGCCTCCTGTCACTTCATCCCTCATCGGTCCAAATATTCTCCTCAACACCCTGCTCTCAAACACCCTCAGTCTATGTTTCTCCCTTAATATCAGAGACCAAGTTTCACACCCATACAGAACCACAGGCAAAATTCTAGTTTTGTATATTCTAATTTTTATGTTTTTGGACAGCAGACGAGAAGACAAAAGGTTGTGGACTGAATGGTAGCAAGCATTACCCGAGTTCAATCTCCTCTTAATTTCGTCAGCGAGCTTACTGCTTTATATGGTACAAGAGACTAGTTTTATAATTCAAATCATTTTGGAGGCGGTGTAGGAAAGAGGGCCGATTTTTATTTCCTCTATGTATTATATAAAATGATCATATCGTACAGTTTTCGTTTGCTTAACGACACCTTTTGTCAACTGCATGGGTTACATAGTAGAATGATTATGAGCGATGTGTTGGGAAGACGGCGGCAATGATCTGACCGGGGGGACCGGGGGTGGGGGTGGGATAGACGTATGTTTCGGAATACCCCAACTAATCCAGAGCATCCCGAATATGGATCAGACACACTATTCAACTGCGACGTTTCGCCAAAGGTTTCTCTCCGTCATCTTAGCTACCTTTTTTCACTTTCAACTTTTAATTTGCCCCCGATGCCCTTGCTTGTACCCCACTACAAGGATTGCCCCATTTTCCCCATTACCGATTTCTCGTCTTTCTCGGCGACACCTGATGCTACTCTCCCACGTAGAGGCCAGTCGCACCCAACTTGAAAGTCTGTGTCTCACGAGCCCTAGTTTACTGATGGGCCTTTCACTTGTGACATATTTTAAAATCCTAATGTAGGTCACTACAGTAAGAAGCAGATAGTCAACACAACAGTGAAATATCTTAGCCTACTGCAATATTCTGAATCTGACGTCACTCCGTCCTGTTTTCATTTTGCTCTTTATGTTCTTTGACATGTGCTGATAGGTGTTATCAATGATACGCGAGGAGCTCATGCCCACATTATCTTGAAAATAAGCCGCTGCTTCAGATAAAAATACGCATTTTTGGTTGCATAGAGATTTTTCATGCTATAGATCGCATTTCTTTGTCTCCTCTTCAGATTAGGGCGCTTTCTGAGTGCAAACATGATTGACGAAGACTAATATCTCGCACAAACATCTGCTCAAACAAAATAATATAGGAAAACATACCTAAAACCATAATTTATGGTAACACTTCTGCCAACGGGTATTTTATTTCACTAGCCAATGCAGAGAAACTGAGGGGGCAAATGATCGGAGTGAATGATACTTCACGTAGTATTTATTTAGATACAGCGTAATGCGCTTCACATACATGGAACACGGAAACAGTTACATAGGGGATAATAATAAATAGACTTGAAAGGATTCTGACGATGGTGTATACTGTACTTCTTTTGGCTTGTTTTGGACTTCATCCATCGTCTGGTACATAAAAGACAAAAGACAACGACGTTTCGGAGACTGGATCTGTCTCCGTCTTCAGGTAGGTAGGGAAGAATAAACGTACTCAATTGGGCCAGTTGGAAAGAGATCCAATCTCCGAATCGTTGTTGTCTTTTGTCTTTTACATACCAGACGATGGATGAAGTCCGAAAAAACCAAAAGAAGTACGGGATAATAATAATTTAAATCGCTAAATGTGGAAGCGGACCGGTCACGGTAGCCGAACGGTCTAAGGCATGCACTGTCTTTGGTCGCTCGGAAGCTGGGATCGTGGGTTCGAATACCACTCAGAGTATGGATGTTTGTGTGCGTTTTTCTGTGTTTGTGTACAGGTAGAGGCCTTGCGACGAGCTGATCACCCGCCCAAAGAGCCCTAACGTATGTCTACGATCTAGTAAAACCGAAGTGAAACGGGGAGTTTCATGGAGGTAGGCCTAGGCCCAAATGAGGGCTGTAGCGCCAATGAAAAAAAAAAGTGTGGAAGCGGTTTAGAATGTCATAGCCCTGCGAGTCGTAAAAGGTGAAGAAAAGGGAACTCGATGTCTAGGGGTATAACTGGGCCATCCTGTGGGGGGGGGAAATAGACAAAGAGACCTGTGGCACTAACTTCGCCGATGAACGGCGGTCGCTCGGTCGGTATAATTCGCTTGCGGACTAAAGCCACGGACTTTATTTGTTGGTCCTCCAGGTTGGGGGTTGGACGCAAGACTATCCTTGCTCCGCAAAGAATTATTGTTGTGAAGTCCAAATAAGTGAAAGCCAGATTGATTAATTCGAGACAATTGTAGAAGTATCTTCTAAGGAAAGCGACGGCTCAAAAACAGCTGTTTTGTCTGTAACGATGATGATGATGATGATGACGACGACGACGACGACGACGATGAATATTTTAAATCTCTTGGATAATTGTTAATTTGTCATGACAAAACAGATTATAAAAGAACATGTCATGATAGAGTTGATTATAAGACTGGAGGTTAATTGAATACGTTTTATATATGTGTTCGTTTTAGAAGCGGCTCTCATTTTCATTTTCTGTTTTAGTGACTGGAATCGAACCAGGAGACATCTGTACCTATTTGAATGCCTGAAACTTCAGAACACAGTGATGACCCTGAACTTTGTCTGGTTTTCAATAAACCTCTGTTTCTTCTAGGGAATTTTTTTATTGCTAGCGGGGTGTGACTAAGTCCCTTGCACTGCAGCCACTTCTGGCCTATTGTACCAGCCCCAGATGATAGGTGAGGGTGATTGTGGAGCAATTGGTGGAATGAAGATTGGCAGGGGAAACCGAAGTACTTGGAGAAAACCTGCCCCAGCGCCACTTTGTCCACCACAAATCCCGCTTGACCAGACCCGGGATGGAACCCGGGCCGTCGCGATGGGAAGCCAGCGGCTAACCGCTTGAGCTATGGCGCGGTCCTATTCTTCTAGGGTAACTAATTTTGTTTCTTTAAAATATTGCATTGCCTGTTCTTTCAGTACACTTCGGCCTAGCTAGGACATCTTCAGGAGGCTTTCCAATGTTAGAAACTGGTTATATTGGAGGGAATTTAAATGTGTTGAATGAAGAATATAAGGTTGAATAATAAAGGCAAACGGTAGTGTTGTCCATGTGCATAACTAATTAAGCACTACGCCATGAAGGCGTATGGGGGAGTGGATATATAGATCCACATTTTTCTTGAACTCGGCACTAGCTGGAGGTGAGTGATCAGTTTCATGCCCCGGCCGCTTTACCTACGGGGAAAGAGCCCCCGGTACCCATTATATAGGAGGTTGGGTTGACCCCAGAGCCGGTCTGGACGATCTGGAGAAGGGAAAATTCTTGGCCCTACCGGGACTCGAACTCCAACCTCTCGGTCGTCCAGCCCTAAGCTAGTCGCTACACCGAATGTGCCATTCCGGCTCATAAATGCTGAATAATATCTGTCGTTAATATTTGCCTGATCTTCTTCAGTCTCGTATGCTGCGATATAATCTTATCCTTTTCAGATCTTCTGTCAGACTGAGAATTACTTTCATAAAATTATATTCAGTTTCAGTTTTGGAATTAGGCCGTCGTTTTTCAGTAAAATAAAGTAAATTTAAATTTATATCAGTGGCGTCGAACAACCCAACCTCATCGTCAATCATAAAAACATTTTCCATTCTATATGATATCGGACTTACGATTTTACAATTCTGACAAATAGGCTGAAATTAGATTTGGTTGTGTGTAAATTGGTTAAACAAATGGAGTCCAAATGGACTGCCTTGTTATAATCAGTCTAACACATAAATATCGCTTCTTAGTCTAATATCAGAGCCTAGAAATTTAAAAAGGAAGTTGTGCTTTTTACACCGTGTGTTTAAAAAAAATAGAGTACAAACAGGCTCCTCTGTTGAAATTTTACATTCAGGGAACTAACTTTCAGTCAAATGCCAGCACTATAATATCAGATTTAACATTCAAACACATGGCCTGAATTTGGACTTTGTATGTATCATGCTTTTAAAGAAACGGACCGCTCTCTGTTAAACTGCCTAATATTTGAAAAAATATATATCGGTTCAATGCCAAATCGGCCATAACAATTAATCTCCTTCTGCCGATTCAAGATCGAGTCATGAACCATTAGTAGAGTAAAGTAAATATTGTGCCTATCTTTTTGAACATCTTCCAGTATGATGATAAAAATATTCTTTTCACGTTAAAAGGATTGCATCATTTCTGTATGAATATACCATTGCATTGGAACATCTTGTGTATCTTCTATCATTTGTTTTGTTCCGAATATTTTTTTTTGCATCAGTACTTCTGATCACTCAGTGAAATATAGATCAGTGATCGCAGAAGGGTCTTGTTTTAGTACCCACAATTCACTACCAGACTGCAAGGAATTGCAAAATGAAGTTATGCATTCTTAGGGCCGCGCCATAGCTCAAGCGGTGAGTCGCTGGCTTCCCACAGCGGCGGCCCGGGTTCGATCCGGGTCTGGTCAAGCGGGATTTGTGGTGGACAAAGTGGCGCTGAGACAGGTTTACTACGAGTACTTCGGTTTCCCCTGCCAATCTTCATTCCACCAATTGCTCCACAATCACCCTCACCTATCATCTGGGGCTGGTACAATAGGCCAGAAGTGGCCGCAGTACAAAGGACTTAGTCCCACCCCACTAGCAATTAAAAAAATAATATGCATTCTTAATTTTACCCCCCCCCTTCCTCATGGTCTTCCCAAATTATCTTTTAATGTATCTTTTTAATATTTTCTTCGAAGTTCATGCTCATTTCGTACATACTACCGTATTTACGCATGTATAGGCCGCACATCTTTTGCCAAAAATTCAAGAGGAAAGCTGGGAT